ATATATATAAAATCCAATTATAGGGGATGTTGTAAAAAAAATACAAGTCAGTCCTATTAGAAAATAGGCCCAGTAGTAATACAGTTAAGCAAACCAGTCAGATAAACACAACTGACAAAGAATTAAGTCATGGATAAAACAGTAAAGGAGAGAGAAATGAAATCAATACATCTGTAATTTTTAATTTATAGCTTTAAATGTTGCATTTCATATAATCTGAATGAGGTAGTTAATTAGCATATACCATGAATTTGCTTGTCATGTGCAGATATAAAAGCTATTACAGTAAAAAAATAAATAAATAAACCTGTGCTTGCTGAGGTACTGGGCACTGTAGAACAGATCCACTGGCCACTGCTAAAGAACCTTCTAATAAATTAAAAAAAAAATCTGTTTACTTCTTGACTTAACTGGGAATAGAAATCAATTTTTCCACAACAGTTTGAGGTCAGAAGTGAGGTGGAAGTAGTTTATCAGTGAGTATTTGAGTATGACAGAAACAGGGTGCCCAGGATGATTTCATCTTTACCCCCTTGCCCTCACTTCTAAATGATTCCCTCTCTAATCTGAGCTTGGTAAAGAAAAAGTACAGATAAGCTGACAAAATGTTCTTCTTACTTGTTGGTGTACTTTCATTGGTAAAGGAACATATTTTTTCCCCAACAATCTCCTTGTGCATTATTAGTTTCTCAGTTTCAGTCTAGTTCAGCATGAATGGCAGTTATGTACCAGAAACCCTTTGTATAATAAAAAAGGGCTCATATTCTGTTCAAGGTCTCCAACAAAGTTCTAAAATAGTGGTAGGTGAGCTGGGGCACTACAGATATTTGGATGACATCTCTCATGGCTCATGGCCATTTATGTTGATAGCTGGGGCTTGTGGGAGCTGTAGTCCAAAATATTGAGACTTTCTAGTTTGTCTTCCTTTGACTCTATTTTAAGGGATTTTTTCCAAAGCTGTCATTTTCTCAGATGCTGAAATAACAATGATATCACTTCTGGGTTAATGAATGAACTATGAAGAAAGATCTAAAACCATATCAAGCAGAAATGGGTTCTATTTATATATGTTATACAATGAATATGTATATGAATGCAATAGTCTTTCAGTTCTCTGCAAATCAGAATATACATTATTATATTTTGTAAGAAAAATCGTCATCCCATTCCAGAATCACAGTTGAATGATTTTAGGTATTTGGGGCATAAAATAAATCCTGGAACAGATCGTTCCTTATTTTTCTTTGTGGAAAAAATAACTGATGAAGACACTTTTTTGTGTTGTCTTTTCAGCACAACAAAACCATGACTGGCCTTTCTGGTGCTTACACATCATAAAAGTTTTAGACCCTGATCAAAGCCAAACACTGTTTTTGTTGTTTGTTTTTTACTAAAATACTTTCCAGAAGCATGGTCAGCATTTTTGTGTCATCTATAATTGTGTTAATTTGCCAATATTTAGTATAATGTATAAAAAAAATAAACATCAGTGATACTGGTTTTTATGAAAGATGTATTGCTATAGGATCAGATTACTTATGTCTATCATCAGAAGTTGTTATAAATTCATTAATAGCATTTTTTCCAGTAACAATAGTTATTTGGTGTTACTTCAGTAAACTACAGTTTAGTTAATTATGGATAAGGCTTATGTTAGTAGAACCAATGTGTAGTATCCAGGGAAATTGTCTCTCTTGCCCACCCCAGAAAAGACCATGAGCCAGAGTTCTTCAAAGTGATCAGTATTGACCCCCCCCCAGAAGTTGATGGAATTATTCAAGGGGTCATTGTTGTTGTTATGGTTGGACACAGAGTCACCCAGATGTTTAGACTGGATCTGGCATTTTTTTCCACCTATTGAGTCCTTCCCAAGGACTGGGATAGGCAGACGTTGCTGTTTGATGGTGTTAAAGGTATCGTCGCAGGATGGAAGCTGTTCCAAGTAAA